TAGACGCGCCTCCTTTGGACACAACAAAACCACAAGCCACTCAGAGAAACTTCCTCTTGGCATCTCGTAATCAACTTAGAAACCTAGGTACGCGTCTCCAACGCGACCTCTGGGCCTGCAACAACTTGGGCCCCTAATACCTCCACGAGGACAGCTAACAACACCCGCTGTCGGAGACCACGAACTCTCATCCACCAGCCACTTTCCGGCTCTCTGGACGCCTCCACATGCGACGCTTTTCTAGGCAGCGTACGTGTGTGGGGATTTAAAGTTTGGATCGGACCGGCTGGCCTTTGTCTCTCTCCTGCCCGAACAAAGGAGCACGTGGACTGTCCAACCCCCCCCCCTTTTCTTCATTCCTCGGTTCTTCAATACGGACTACGTCAAAGTAAGACTGTTCTAATTGCCACGTTAATGTGTGATTCACGTGATATGTTTAACATCTCTGTTTAATGTGACCAAACCCCTCCTCGTTGATATTTTCGTATGTAGTCAATAAACCCATGATAAACTTAAGTCATCGTCAAAGTGTCCTTTTTATAAATCTTTTGATATCCCTTGCTGATTTCGGCTGATTATCAGATTGTGAGACTGATCGAGGCAGATTAGTATTGGATCTGTTGCAGATTTTCAAACTCTGCTGCTGCCCCTAAAAATAAATTCAGATCCCTCTGTGTGGAACGGCGAGACTCCGACCTGGAGACTAGTCCCTCCACATCACTATTTTCTTACCCTACAATTCTGTACAGCAGCGTTCTCCAACCTATAGCTCGGGGGAAACCAGCTGCTCCCACCCCATTCCAAGAAGATCCCCAACGGATTTAGAATGAACAAATATACCATTTCAATTTTGTTTTCTGATTTATGCTACAACTATTGTGCTTTTCTGCTCTGTTTGCTTATATACATTGTAATATTTTTGGATGGGCATGCAATTGTACCACTTTTGTAGCAAGACAGTCAAAATGTTAAACTTATACTTATTTATTTTTATTTATTTGTTTATTTGACAGGGACATTGCACAATAAATGTATTGTTCAGACCGGATATAGCTACAAGCTAATTTTCATCCGTAGTCCCTGAGGCAGAGGCAACGTGACAGCAGGTTTACAGTGTGCAAAGAATTGATAAATAGAAAGAATGAATGGCCTAATTAAAATACAGATAAAATACAACACCCATAAATCACACAGACACAATTCAATACATACAACATATACATCACACAATTATTTACATCTGACTAATGACTACAGACTTGATTCTCTTTGAGCCAGTTTTTTAGGCTGAGTCTAAACTGTCCTAGTGAGCTACTCTCCCGCACAGACAGAGGTAGTGAGTTCCAGGCCACTGCTGCTTTGAGAGAGAAACAGTTCTGACCAAATGAGGAGGACCTAAAGTTCACATAACAGTCTCCCCTGGATGTGGCTCTGGTGGATCTGGTTCTCACCTCCTCACACCTTTTCACAAATGTATTTAGTGGTGGGGGTGCCAAATTTTGGAAAATTGTATATATAAGACAGATATTTGCAAACTGGATAACACTCTCAAATGGAAATAATTTATATTTCTCAACAATTTTGCAATGATGATGTGACCTCGGTTTTTTATCTAAAATCTTTAGAGCTTGTTTGTATAAACTCAGAAGAGGTTGCCTTGCTGAGTCTGGAGCCAATGACCAGGATGTGCAACAATAAGTGAATTGTGAAAAAATCATTGAATGCATAAAAAGCTTTGCCGCATCTGGACTCATCTGGTGACGGATTCCCCTAAATTGAGACAAACTAAATTTTATACGTTTGATCATTTTGGAAATGTGCGTCTTAAAAGACAGTGTCCTGTCAAGCTCAACTCCTAAATATTTAGTCGAGTCCACAATTAACAATTTGTCTCCATTAATGATTATTTCTGGTGGAGTGAGATGAGTATTCCTTACTGAAAAATACATGCTGACGGTTTTTCTAACATTTAGTATCAGACATGATTTTACCATCCAATCTGAGATTTTCTCCATGGCAGATTGGAGAATAGACGCAGCTTTTTGGCTGGTTTTGTTATGGACATATAATACAGCATCATCAGCGTACATCTGAATATTTACCTCTGGGCATAGGACTGGGAGGTCATTTATATAAACACTGAATAAGAGGGGTCCTAAAATGGAACCTTGAAGCACCCCGACCGAGCTGTCTAAAAAAGGAGACAAAGTGCTTTTAACTCTTGTGCAGTGTTTTCTCCCCTGCAAGTATGATTTAAACCATTGCAGTGCACTTTCTGAAATATTATGTTGTGATAGTTTTGATAAAAGGATGCTATGGTTTACTGTGTCAAATGCTTTTTTTAGATAAAAAAAAATGGCTCCAACCACTCCTCCTTTATCCAACATGCTTTTTAGTTGTTCAACAAAAAAACACAGGGCTGTTTCTGTTGAATGATTTTTCCGGAAACCAAATTGAAGTGGATTTAGAGGGTGTTCACCATAGTTTAAATGATCCGTCAGTTGCTGAACCACCACTTTCTCAACAACCTTTGATATCACTGGTAGGATGCTCACGGGCCTATAGTTAGAACGTTCGGTCAAGTCTCCTCCTTTGTATATGGGTGTGATAACTGCCAATTTAAGACAGTTGGGGAAGACTGCTTCTTTAATAGAGCGATTCGTGAGTTGTGTGATTGGCCCGCCCAAGGCAGTAGCATTTCTTTTGATTGTACTTGAATCTAAACCATATACATCCTGGGACTTTGAATTTTTAAGTCCTTGTAAAATGTTTTGAATTTCCTGCTCTGAAACCTCATTAAGGTAGAGTACAGGTTTATTTGGATTTACAGTCATAATTTCAGTTGCCCTTTTGCCAAACACTACTGCCAATTCATTTACAGAATCTTTAAAATACGTATTAAAAATACTGACCACCTCTGTTTCATTATGAATTAACTCATCGTTTACTTTTATTTCATAATTTTTATGGGGCTTTTCTTTACAAGAAATTGTATTTATATGCCTCCAGACTAACTGATTATTGCCTTTAGCTTGTACAATCAGATCAATAAAGAAGTCAGCTTTTGCAGCCCGGAGCACCTTCACCACTTTATTACGACTAGCTTTAAATAAACGCATATCATTATCAATGCCAGATTTTAGGGCTTTCTTCAACAAATAGTCTCTTCTTCGCATTAGATTCCATATCTCTCCGGTCAACCAAGGCAAATTTGCTTTCTTTTTTAAGTTACATTTTTTCATAAAATGTTCTTTAACCTTATTGATTAGTTCTAAGAAATGTATGCAGAATGTGCTTATGTCATCTTTAGAATCAAGTGCAATCCAGTCAACTTTTTGCAACTCTGAGTCAAAATGGGGTAAATCTTTTTTTGGGATTCTATAGATAACCTCTTTATTTTTTTATCCTAAAGGCAAATCTACTTTTGTTGAGTTTCCGTGCAATTAAAACTAGATTGTGATCTGAAATTCCAGTTATGAAATTAAAACTTTTGATTATTCTACCAGGCATATTTGAAAAAATAAGATCAATTTGTGTTTTTGATGTTTTTGTTATCCTTGTAGGTCCATTTATTTGCTGTGAGAAATTATACAGATCTGTTATCTCCTTTAATTTTTTCCTATTGGTTGTGTCTGTCCAGTTTACGTTAAAATCCCCCATTACAATAACTTCTTTCCAAAGTGTATTTAGTTCTTTTAAAATGTCTTTAAATGATACATAAAAACGTGCATCTGCTGAGGGTGGCCTATAAAAACCCACTAATATAAATGACATATGAGGTGACAGAGTTACACTTATTGCAATATATTCAATTTCTTTATCCACATTCACTTGTACATTTAATTGATTGGTTTGTATATGGTCTTTAATGTAGAACAATAGTCCACCTCCTTTTCCAGTTCTCCTATCCCTTCTGTATACTGTATAGCCTGGAATGTGATAGGCTGCCTGTGGAGAGGTCTTTGTTAACTAGCTCTCTGACAGACAGATAAAGTCCAGATTCGAATTGGTGAGGAGTTTCTCCACTTGTTCCGTTTTAGAGGCAATGCTCCTAATGTTCAAATGGCCTCCCAGCAGGCCTCGTGGCTTAGATCTATTGTCCCAGATGACTTTCGCATGGTTTAGGGTGTGTAGAAGTGTCAAGTCATACCTCCTCTGCTGGGAGCTTGTTTGTTGAGGTGCTCTTCGTTTGTTACTGAAATGACTTGGTTTGGATGCGCGCGTTCTCCTGCGCTCTGCTCCCCGCTGCACCCCTATACCGGTGCCCGGCTGATTACGCACGGAGACGGGGTGTCCGCTCTCCGCGGTGTTGCTATGCATGGCATTGTCATCCATCCGCATACCAGTGCCGATTGAACACTCTCGCGCCACATGGATCGGTATATCCAGGTGTAATATTCCTGTTGCATGTGCGGGGCTTTCACTGGACTCCAAGCGCAGCGTGACGTTGCCATCGCCGGTTATATTTAAGTCACTGCTTTTGAACACCGGGCCGGGGCATTGATGAATGTCTCCCGATAATGACAGACATATGATTATTATCAGGGCTTCGCCATTTAATGCATGCGTTGTTGGTCTCTTTCGTGGTTTTTTGAAAGAGTTCATCAGACCAGGAAATACAAAGGTTGCAGCCGCAACAACTTTCCCGTGACCCAAATGCTTTCTTCCTCCGTTGTGGATAAGGGCAGCTTCTTCAACCGGGTGATTAAATCCAATCACTTTATGTTGCCTATCAAACTTTCGTAACGGGGGCCATATAGCGTTAAAAACAATACATAGATAAAAAAGGCAATGAGCACACCGTTCCTGCTGCACCTGCCTGCCGCCATATACAATAAATATGTAATTCATATGTGGACTATGTAAATGCTGGTAGCCTGTTGTTTTGGGTTTCTTTCAGCTGCCCAAAGAGGTAACTCACTGCCATTTTTTGTCCTGGAAAATTAGACAAAAGGTTGGAGACCCCTGCTGTAACATAAGTAACATATTTTTTGATTTAGGCCCCGAAAGCAAGCTCAAATTGAAGACTGAAAACCTTGCTTATGGGAATTACTCATTGCCACTGATTATTGAGGATCAACAAAACTTCAAAAGTGAGCAGACGATGGTTGTGGAGTATTGCGAATGTGATGAAACGAACACTTGCATCAAACAATCTCGGAAAGTGAATCTGGGGGGAGCGGCCATTGGACTGATCCTTGCGTCACTTCTGCTGTTCTTGTGTAAGTCTCTTTTCATTATCCTTCGTTTCCTTACAGTGGGACGATTAAAGGACCTCTTCATCTTATGAAAACATAAAGGAGATATAATACGCAAAATCGACATTATTGAGCCTTTCTAAAACATTCTTCCCTCATCAAATAAAATACCTGGAGTTGATTTATAGCTCCATTTATGCTACTCTTAAGCCACGTTTCCACTGCTGAGTTCCTGGTAAAAGGAGCGGGGTGGAACTTCAACAGGAATCGTCCTCTCCCACAGTCCTCTCAGTGTCCGTCTCTCCACCGCAGATTAGGACCACTCGCATAAGCGAAACTCATTACCCCAAACCAAATTGTTTATTTTGCGGCCGTAACAGCTCCGGTTGTTGTGGTCTTTGATTTTATTTATAGTCCTGCTTCAGTTTTATTTAACTTTTCATGGCTTGTTTTGGAGTGTGATGAATCCCCAGTGCTTCGAGGTGAAGCTGATATGTCTTAATATATCTTTTCAGTTCGCCGCTATGCCTCAAACCCCGTCTGAATCTGCCTGCACCTGATCATCCGTCCATTTATTGTACATCTTGTTGTTGTTTGCTGTTTCCAGTGGTGTCTGCTAGGCTAATGCTGCTGGATTTTTAAAATGCCGGTTGTTTTAACGTTTTCATGTGGCGTCAGAGCCTGTGCTAGCTAGCCAATCAGCGCCGGGTTAACCTCAAGCCCCACCAGGAGCTGTTCAGGGCCCAACGGAGTACATAGCATGGAGGAGGGACTCTGTTGGGCCCCATAAAAGTTCCTGTAAAGGGCCGTGTGGGGAAAGTTCCTGTAGTGAAGACACACACCAACGGGGCTGGCCCTGGAAAACTACCCCTAAAGCTTAGCGTACATCGGACTGGCAACTGATTATATCCGTCGCATATGAGTTGCTGCCCCGCACACATCGACAATCTGACGAAAACGGGCAACTCCTAGTAGCAGACCAGTCTCGGGAATAACAGCGCGTACATCGACAGCAACTGGCCTCAACTACAGTGTGTTTTCTGACATAAACTGTTGCGGGCGCGCAATACACGCAATACACACACGTTGTCGGAGCGGCGCATGGAGCGCGCACATCGGGTCATATCTCCAAAACTGAGGACAACTAGTTGCCGAAAAGCAGAACACGGGCAACTGACTGAAACTGGAGACCGACTGTTCATCTCCAGTTGTAAGAGCGCTCACATCGACCGATTTCGGCAACTGATCATCTCCATCATCTCCTCTCAGTTGCCAAAAGCCGCCTTGCAACTAGTTGTCCCCAGTTTCTCTGTCGATGTACGCTAGGCTTAAGATCCAGCGGTGGAAACGCGGCTTTAGAAACCTCTGGCACAAACATGTAGCTCCGCCCCTTCTGTCTAAAAGCTCCTGCCTCTGTGCTGTAATAGTGTGATGTCATTGTAAGTCAATGACATCTCACAAAACAAAAATACTGCCAATTAATTTATTTAGGCATTTTCTCTTTCTCTTTCCCTTCATACTTGTTTGACTTTTATTTTTAAAACACATTCTAACACGTGAAACCGTAAATAGTCTCGTTATCATTATAATGGCCAAACATTATGCCTATGACCTTCTTTAATTGAGAAAACCATAGCCATATACAAAACACAATGTATTCTGAAATGTTTCTCCCTCTCTTCAGTGCTGCTGTTAATATTTAAGTGCACTTCTAAAAAGAAGTTCCACAAGCTCTCGGACTTGGGGAGGGATGAGGGGAACCAGACTCTCATTCAGTATAATCAAGAAGGTGGCAGCTCAGACTGCAAGGTAAGTTACGGAACGTTTCACCATCAGGTTCGACAACTGGATAGAAAACTGGGAGTGGCACTTATATTCTGACTTCCTGCTTTGTCTCAGGCTGAACCCTCCACATCTCTGACCACGAAGACCACTACGACAAACAACATCACTATGACGGATGGCCAACAGACCCTTCAGGTATCCACTATTCTATAGTGGATACCTATACTATACTGAACTAAACTATACTATAGTTCAGTCCCCCATAATACAAATCAACTCGCGACCCTGAATAATCTAAATCTGTCAACGGCTATTGTAAAAGCAGGTACAGTGTCTTTGCTTGTCGCAGAAACTGGCATGTAGGATTAGTCAAAGCCGCCTTCTTGGCAGGCGTTGGTGAAATTCAACAGAAGTCATAATTAAAAATCGTAAATAACAGCGTTTGTAAAAGGTTGAGTGAGTCAAACAAGTGGAATTTGTTCTGTCAATTGAAGTAGCAATAATGATCATACAAATACATGCAATAAAAATGGTGAGAGTGAAAAATATACTATACTATACACATATATACGCGTCTATAACCTTACAATGTGTTTTTTTCTAGCCGGCGATGCCGCTCTATACAAGTGAAGAAATTTACAACATGCACCACTCTAGTTACAAAGTATGTGTTTGAAAGCAACAGCATAACTCGTGTTGTGGAAAAAATGTACAGTATAGTAAGGCGGGGTGCAAATGCACCAACCCATCAAATGGGGCCTTATGTGTGCTGCATGCAGAAGGATCTACTGCACTGGTTGACTGCTGGGGAAATGTAAATAATGAAAGGGTAAACTGTTCATATGTGGACTGTGGACTGCAGCTTGTTATTTGTCTATGGATTTCACATAATGAACATCATCAACAGTAATGAAGAGATTTCTGCTGGTGCTTATACTACTGGGAAAGCAAATGTGGGGAGATACTGTTTCTAACAACTAATGTTTGTGTCCCAAAGAGACCATTCAGAGTTTGTGGAGTGGAGTTTTACAAGACATGGAATGGAAATGCTTTATCAGTTAACTTGAAGGAACAAAGTAGGAAGAGAAACAACATTATACAACATGTTTGAGATTTTTTATGAACATGGTGGCGAGACAAAAGCATCGACTAGAGATTAAGGAACTTTCCCACTGATGGTTTTGAGAGTTTGAAGGTGTGACCAGATGTAGCTTGAAGAGAACATAAAACGTGGATTGGTTTTTACGAGGTTTTAGTAGACCTGTTGCTTTAAGTGCAAACTGCACTCGTCAATCTGGTTTTGTTTTGCAGACACGGCAAGATAATGTTTGCTAGAGGTCAAAACGTGAACTAATAATGTATTTTATGGTCCAAACTGAGGTATTTGTTTTGTCCATAAATATTTGTAACTCCCTCAACACGCTTAGCCTCTGGGTGGTTGAATTCAATAAAAATACATTTAAAAATGTCATAATGATTTTTTGTTTTATTTGGATTTAATAACTACTTATATCTAATAGCATTGTTGTAGGAATCTGACTTAGCTGAATAGATGTGTTCTAAATTAACATGAACTTATTCAAACACAACACATTTGTATCAGCTGATACACGCAGCACCACTCGGCATCCAAAGAGACTTATCTTATGTATTTATTTATCATGTATTTCCATTATTTCAAAGCCTGTTCCCCCTTTGTCTGCTCTGGTTTCCCCTACCACTACAAACATGTACAATATTGAGCGTTGAATGAGTGCATGTTTGCGAGAGCGGCTGTGGGACTACCCAGGGGAATTAACCCAAGGCTACAATCAAGTGTAGTCACAGATCCTGCTGTCCCGTTTAGATGGGACATGGTTATCTGTTCTTTCATGACATGTTAAGAATCAGCCAAAGTCTGGGATCGTGTCTTTAATTCAGACAGAAAAAATGTTTTATTGTTGGTGGTAGAGCACGAACAAGAGCACACGAACAAGGAATGTTGGACAGCAAGTGATAATATACTCAGGAGAAACAGAAACCTCCAATCAGCAGCTGCCACAGTGTGCTTGTAGTTTGGCCTTCAGAAATCAAAACATCAAATGGAAAAGTACAGGCTTCTGCATGTGTGTGACCATCAGGATGGTCAAGATGACAAAGTCTGGGATCGCGTCTTTAATTCAGACAGAAGACATGTTTTATTGTTGATGGTAGACGCACGAACAAAGGATTTTACAGACCGCAAGTGATAATATACTCAGGAGAAACAGACACCTCCAATCAGCAGCTGCCACAGTGTGCTTGTAGTTTGGCCTTCAGAAATCAAAACAACGTGGAAAAGTACAGGCTTCTGCACATTGATAAAATGATGAGTTTAACCTTAACAAAAGTTGCTTCAAAGTGTTATGACATCTCTACAACTACACATGGGAATTAACCCAAGGCTACAATCAGGTGTAGTCACAGATCCTGCTGTCCGGTTTAGATGGGACAATGGGCCTCATTCACGAACCGTACTTAAGAACAAATTTGTGCGTAAATCCTACTTACGAAGATTTTACCAAGATTGTGGCATTCATGAAATTTTTTCGTAACCAGAATTTCTCTCGGGTAAGTACAAATCCTACGAATGCTCAGGAGCACTCGTACGCACATTCAGTGTCGACACGTTTGCACGCTGGTGTTATGAAGTTCAATAAAACACAACATTACAGTGATATGTCCGTCATATTGATGTATGTATTTATTTATTTAATTGTTAATGGTAATTTAGCCTATTTTTTTATTGATTTTGAAATGAAATGTGCCAACACTTTATCAAATACATTGGAAATCTTGCCGTGTATTAGTGACCCCATCCTATTTATAGGGGGCATTTCTTTATCCACGGGCCACAGAACAATAGCATATATACTGCTGCTGCAGGTTGCGGGGTCCGCGCTGAGTCTCTGCGCTGGTGTCTCCTATGGATCTATACAATACAATACAATACAATTTATTCTTGTACAGCCCTCGGTCACAACAGAAGTCATCTCAGAGGACTTAACAAAACCAGAGAAGTCTGGTCCATGCGGTCTCTCTTTGGTCCGCGCTGGTCTCTGCGCACCGGTCTCTTCAGTCAGGTCTATGCGGTCTCTCCTAGGTCCGCGCTGGTTTCTGTGTGCTGGTCACTCCAGTCTCTCCTCGGGTCTGCAGTGGTCTCAGCGCTGGTTCGCACTGGATCCAAAATATTTTGAGATTAATCTCAAAACATTTTGAGATTCATTTTTAAATTAATACATAATGTATTTTTAAATTAAGCTCATAACATTTTGAGAATAATCTCATCATATTTTTAGATTAATCTCATAATTTTGCTAGTTCAACTTTATTCTCATAATATTTCAACTTTTAAGTCAACATTTTATTACTTTATTCTCAGTCTGGCAAAAGAAGAAAAAAGGGTGACTATTTTGCTCCGTGTAACTCTTTGCTTTAGGCCTGTTGCTGTTTCCTCTGGCGTCTGCACACGGCCCTGCAGTCCCTTTTATGGGCATTAGTGGGCGGTTACTTATGCTAAGTACATATGCTAATGAAGCACCGGGCATGCACGCTACTTACGAGGAGTTGGCATTCATCAATCTGAGAGAACAGCTGCGAACAATTCAGCGCCTTACGAGTGCGTTGATGAATCCCACGTAGGGTCTTCTTAGAAATCTACTTAAGAACAACTTGAGAAGAAATTTAAGAAGTTTCTTACGAAGTTATTCGTGAATGAGGCCCATTGTTATCTGTTCTTTCATGACAGATGACAATGACAATTCAATGACCCAAAAATGTCCTCTGCATCCAACAAAATCCTACAGGCATCAATCAATATCAAAAAGACCAAACAAAAGAGAGGGATAAGTAAGAACACCCAACAGACCAGACAGACAAGACCACATTCACCCATTTCTCCTTCATCACACTCCTGGTGCTCCACTCCTCCTCCATTAGGTCTAAAAGCTCTGGGTTGGTATCTAATTTAACTGTCATTAAACAGGAGTTAGGAGGTATCTGCCAACAAGCATTGGGAGATTAGAATGTGAAAGTGTGCCCTCTGCTGGTTGTCACCTATTTTCCGCGTAATTCCTCATGTCATTTTAAAAGTTGCAGATGGAGTCAGACTGGTGCGAACTGTCATAGCGTCTACGAGCAAGACACTTCACCCAATCGTCTGTGTGTCCACTGGTGAAGGATTTTTCGTTTGGAAATGTGAACAGGGGGAAATTGTACTGTAAAGGCACAGATTTGAGGGAGATCTCCCACTTTGATATATTTATTTGAACAGTATTATGTAACACGGGTGAAAAATCCTGTAAGAGTGATACCTTGTTTTACAATACTGATCTTTGTGCTCCCCCCTGCGTGCGCGTCTCGTGACCGGAGCTGGCCAATCAGCCGGTTATATTTTCCCTAACCAGAAAGCACCATGGATCTATTATATTAACTGGATAGGGTATTACTAGCTTGTAGCTGAATAACCCATGTGCTCAGGGGATTCTCGCGGTACTGCAGACTGAACCAGACTAAATTCACGTGGGCTTTTCCCCATAGAACTCAATGCATATTAAAAAAGCTCAACCTCAGCTGACAGAGAACCTACAGCTTTCATAAAGGTCGGATTTTGTGGGGATTTTAGTGTCCCTTTCATCCTGAACTTTATTTCTTCTTAAATCCTTCGGTTTTGTTTAAATCCACACTTTAGTGCCACAAACTCTGCTCGTCTGGCTCTCGCTCTAACTCCCGCTCTGATGAACTGCTCTGATTGGTCAGAGCGCGGCCGAGCCCCTCTGTGCAAGTGCGTGAGACCCGGTGTGAGACCCACACACGCGTGTTTGACGCAACGCATTATAGGAGATCATCCACTGCGCAGAACCGGGAGGACCAGACGATGCCCAAATACAGGCGAGTTTCCCATAGATCTTTGCGAGTTTCCCATAGATCTTTGCGAGTTCCAGGCGACTTCCGCTAATCTTTCAGCCCCCATGCCGTCACAAAGCGCCACTGAGCACAACCATTCATTTGAATAGGGCGCCATCTTGGATCGCCAGGGCTTGGAAAGCACTGGTAGTGCGAGAGGTGCCGTGTATTGGGTTGCTGCAGGTAAGGTTTCTGCTTATTTACTTCACCATAACATCCAAGGCTTATTATATGTATTGCTGTATGCAGGAGCCAAGCTACCATCACCCTAGCGCACTTGATAGAGCGTTTGATGGCTCAGAATCGGGAGAATCGGTAAGCGCTCTCATGAGCTCTTTCATTCAGCGGCTAGCTTAGCATTAGCCGTTCCCCCTGTTTTTAATGGGTTTGGTTAGCATCTGCTATTTATGCCAATTTTCTCCGTGCTTTGTATTTAATGTCCAAACCAAATGACGATCATGTTAATGAGATTATTGTTGAATCTTGACACTGTTCACATGCACTTTGTGGCGTTTCATCCTTTTGCAATGCACTAGCACTTTATTTTGTAGAGTTGCTATGAGATTATTGATTGTGCAATAGCACTATGCACTTTCACTTAAATGATTAAGTACAAATAGTTAAGCATTTTTCATTGTCTTAATTATAGAAACTTTTGTAGAATAGTTATCGTGATATAGTAGCATCCTATTGCACTTTTAATTATGAAGCGATGTGCATCCTATTTGAATATGTATTGACTTTGTGTACACA